AACGAATTATGAATTACAAATAGTGAAAATCACTATTGTTGATGATTTAAAATTTTTATACTTTTCGATGTCTGTTCAATTAAATTTGCAACATATATAACTGACATAAATCTTTAGAATATATTTTTTTAATTTTTATTAAAAACTCACATAAAAAATTTGTGAAAATGATTTTCTCCCGATAAAATGCAATTTTTTTCAAGATTTTTTTCACACATCATAAAGTAATCCTCTTAGCTTTTAAAAATAATTGAACGCATTAAAAAATTAAAAAAAATTATCGCGTTTTAAAGAGTGCGTTATTTAATATTTTCTACGATTATCGTATTTATTAATTTCATGATCTAAATAATTTGGATTAAAATGGAAAAAAATAAGTTTTTATACACAAGATGACTTTTTAAGCGTAGCTTTCATATAATATTCAAATTTAATTCTATATAAAAAAATAATTTCAAGCAATATTTATTTCTTATTATGTTGGAAATTTATCCAATCTTATGTTCTCAATATTCATACATTTGTTAATCGCAATTCAAATAATACTTACATTTTAAATCTTAAAGAAAAATAAAAAAGTATGAATATCTTTCCAAAATTTAAATCTAAAAGATTCAAAGATCATTCGAATTGGAGAAAACATGATTTCATTGCGGGAAAATCTCGAACCAAACGTATTGCACTAGAACGTGCGTATAATAGAGGTTCTATTGTGACAAAATTAGCAATCGGAACTCTTTGCACGTTCGTGCAAAAATATTTCCTCGAGCAACGAATTTTCCATTATTTTTAACTTATTATCCATTCCTTTAAATTGGAAATAATCAATTCTTCGCTTCGATATCACTTTTCATCATTAAAAATTACAACGTATGAAATTTATGGTTTTACTTATCTAAAGACAAAAATCGCATCGCAAAACACACGATAATATTATTTATGAAAATCTCTCGATACGTATCTATCTTTTATTTCATATGTCCAGTAAATTGTTTTTGACAAACGCGTAAGGCTATTATGTGGACATGACAGCCACGTGAAATCGTAGAAAACGACGGATAAACAAATTTGCATCGGTACATATTTTATAGCTACCAGCAACGTGGAAAACTGGTAATCGGATTGAACGATACCTGGCTGGGATTCGCGTTGAAATTTCCGGAAATATTCTAATTGATGTGGATTCCCGTTGATCCAATATCATGATATTATACACCGATAACCGGATTGTCATTCAACGACAATAGATACTGATAAAATGAATTGTCCAAAATAATTCTGTCCTCAGATCTGATCACGTCATATTTTCGTCAAAATTGAGATAGGAGTTGCGCTCAATTATTCACAAATATTTCACGCATTGAAATTATGAAATTTAGTTTCATCTATTCTGAAATAAGCTATCCGATTACAAAATTTTTCTATTTTTCTATTTTAATAATTTTCTCTTCTTATTGAATTATAACTTTTATTCGCTTACTTATATTTGTTATTAACCAATATGATTCAAAAAAATTTCTGTCATTTGTGATTGACTAATTTTTATTTCCTTCTTTTCATTTTTGTCTGCTTTCCTTTGTGGACTATATAAATATAGAATATGTACATAAAATGAGATAAAGAATATATGTATATAGTATAAAAAAAAAAATGATTATTTTCTATTCATTAAATAATTTCTTACACACCGAAATTTCTTTATACTTTATGAAAGAGACAATTATTGTAAGAGTATTTAAGTGAGCAATATATGAATATAGAAACGTTAAATAATTAATAATATTACAGCTATGCAAATGTCAATCTCAATTTATAAACAACAACTAAGATATATGAATTAAATGTTTACAATAAAATGTTTAAAATTTTTAACGAGTTTGTTACTTATTATTTTTTCATTAACATTTATTAGATATCAAAATATTGCAATAAAATATCTTTTTACACGATTAATTATTTTTTTTACTCATTTGTATCAAGTACAAATTTCTCGCATTTGTTTCTTAGACAATTACAAAAAGTATCGAATGTATGTCTTGCAAGGCAACCACTGACAGTGCTATTTAAAGTCCAACCACCGACAAGACGAGCTTCTAGTCTTTCCATCGAATACTGAAACATTCCTCGAGCCGGTATCTACTTCCCAAAAATCGTTGAGAATTCTTTTGAGAGCGAGCAACCTAAGAATCGGTATCTCCAATAAAAAATAGCTCGGACATATCGACTCAACTTGCCAACAACTTATAACTTACCAACAAACTTGTCGATAGTTGTCAACGCAAAAAAAGGAAAAAAAAATCATATTTCAGAATCATTGTTCAGCTCCATGAAAACGGGAAATATATCGAAATCGATAAAAATTTAAACGATTTCAAATGAATATTGCATGAAATTCCAGCACAATGAAGTTTTCACCTGACGCGACGGCCATTGTATTTCATTGCATTTCATTCCATCTAGTTGAATTTTCAGTTTTTTTCTACAATTTTTATGTATATTATTATGTATACTATTAACGTGAATCAAAGGTGTATATAACAATGCGTTTTGTATAACAATGTTTTTAAAAAAATACATATGTATTAAGGGAAAAAGAAATGGAAATAACATTTTGTGACATAATTCGACAGCGTTATGTTAATAACTTAATAGAGAAGCATTAAGATTAATTGAATAACATGGACTTTCCTTCGAAAAATATACAATTAAAATTGTGTATTATATGTACACTATACATATAAAATCGCGTGATATACATATCATGAATAAAGCAAATTTATTTCCTTTAAATATGATTTTACAAAAAAATATTTGCATATGTCCTTTTTTCCAATCATTTTTCTTTTATCATATTCCATATTTTATTTTTATAATTATTAAATTCATATGCAGGAAAAGATAAGAATATAAGATAATGTAACTTTTTTGTTTTTGCATGAAAAGTGAAAAAATGAATATAAGTATTATAAATCTTAAGGAAACTGTAAATTTTTAATTTTTCTAAATTAAAGACAAAATTCAAGTAAAAATAATATTATAATTGAGATGATGTAACTTTTCAGATAAATAATTAATAGATAAGTTATGAAATTGCAGTTTTAATAATACAAAAATTTTAATATAACGATGCAATCACAATTTCCTTTGTTTTCTTTTTTTTTTTTTTTTTTTTTTTTTCTTTACTTGTCACATATGCAAATTTCAATAATGCATTTTTAAATATGATGGACGTAATGAAATCACAAGTTTTAATTTCTCAGGTTTTTTTTTTTCTTTCTTTGAATTCATTTTTGCCATTTGAATACATTCTATTCATTATTTACGAATATTAAATATATTAAATATAATCAATTCGTTACTTTTTTACTTCTTATCATTATATTCCCATTAAAATTTTTTTTCAAATAGTCATTAATATTCAGAAACAATATCTTTCTTAGCACCGAATAAATGGAATATTTGTTATATTTAAGTATTTTTACATTTTATTTAGAAACTAAATGAATAATAGTAGTTGTTGAGATATTCATTTTTTTTAAATTTTTATTTTTTTAACTATATTATTCTTATGGTAAATTTAAGTTGGAAACTATATAAATAGAATAATTGAGATTAAAATTATATATATGTGTAAGATAAAACAAAAGATTAATATTTCTCTTAAATAGTAAGTAAAAAAATATCATAAGACATAAAATTGAATCTACGCGATTATCGAAGCATTTTGTAATTGATCACGGTTCTATGAAGATATTCTCTCGTATCAGAGCATAAAAAATTCGAAATGTAAAAATTTTTAGTGATAACATAATAATTATTTTTTTGATTTAATTATCGAGGAATCATCATGATGAATAAAGCATGACATTCTATAGTTCTTATACTGTATTTTAACTGTTAAACGAACTTTATTTCAAGCATAAATATTAAATTATATTTTTTTAAAATATCTAATGTACATAATAAACCAAAATGGAACATTAATGTAAAATAAATATGTAAGAAAAAATGTGAATGTTTCTTCTAATACGTATTTATTTTTTTTTCAAAATTATTAAATAATCGAATAATAATATGTGTGAAGATTATATCAATGCGAAAAAGGAAGATAATTTGAATATTAATATTATATAAAAGTATAATAGAAATAAAATTAAAACGATTGAATCAATTATATAATTATATTATAAAGAATTTAAACTTTCCAAATTAAAATGATAATAATATCTATTTATTTTCTAATTTTATTAGTGTTTTGATAAAACAAAAAATTAACATGATATTTAACTTTATCATCACCGAAACTAAATGATAAATAAAAGAAATGTTAATAAATAATATTAAATATTCATTCTTGTTTTTAGAATGAATATAAAGGATTATTATCATATTTACAAATGAATTTAATAGACTAATATTTGCTCTAACTATTAATAACTATAGATAAATTATTCCAGTGGAAACGTATCACAACACATTTTAATATATACATACACTTATTAGAATTTCTATATTATGATCAAATGTATAATTTTTTAATCGATCACAGAAAATAAATTTTTAATAAAATTAACAAATTTTTCTTTAAATTTTATTAAATTTTCCAACAATTTAACGCAAAAATTAAAATATTGTTTACATAAATTATTAATATGTATATTTTTTCATAAACTATCGTTTATTCATGCGACGATGTATAAATTCATTAAACCAAAATTGTTCAACCAACATCTCCTCAATAAATGTCATTTTCAATTAGGAAAATGATAAATTTACTTATCGTTAAAAATAGCTACATAATAATTTTATATTTTAACACTTTCACAGCAATATCAAATCGCGTATTAAGTAAGAATTTCCAAGAACGCATTAGATGAGTGAAATTTTTATTGATTAAGAATTAAAAAAATGTTCATTATTTAAAAGAAATTCATTCAATAATTAAATGGGATGGGAATAATAAGAATCGAACAAATGGTATACATTGATGGTATACGTACTTTGAGAAGTAAGGTCACCGGGTTCGTCTTGTATGTTAACGGGTGAGATTTTCACTGACCTTGGAGGGCCCTGAAGGCTGAGAGGCCCGGGCCCTCCGGTAGCGGCCATCCTTTGCATCGCTGCACCCCCGATTTCCATCGCTCTTCCTGCCCTGCGCACCTCTCTCGACGATTTTCGAGCAATCTTGAAGCCTTACTGCCAAGTACGACCGTCGGCCGTACTTACTTTTTTATACAGAATTTCACTAAAGACTCGAGATCTCGACGCTTGAACCAACACTTCGACGGTTTTTTTGTTTTTGGTTTCTTTTTTCTTTTCCTTTTTTTTTTTTTTTTTTTTTTTCAAAGAAGTCCACTCGAGTCACAAAATAAAATAAAAATCACTGTTTACAGTTTTAAGATGATGGATTTGCCTGTTGAATAATACGCAATTACGAAAAACTATATATACATGTATATATATATATATATATATTATTTTTCGGGCCGATTGAATTGGATTACTATTGGATTTCAATTGTTATAAATATTGGATTAATCGAATAGATTAATTTTATTGCCGAATAATTTTGTTAAATTTTTTTCGTTACTTTTTTATGTCAAGTTATTGTTACATTGAAAGAATATATACTTCTGGTCCCTTTTCACCGATCAAACCTCGTTAGTTCATAATTGCACATATCTTCCTTGATAAATATTCGCAGTTTCATATTCTACAACTTGCACTCATCTATTGGCTATTTACTGGAAACCACTATTTGCAAATTCAATTCAATCAATAAAATAATTTGCTAATAGCATGTACCGTTCGTTGCATGAATTCCATTCCAGCTGTACTCGTCGCGAAATTTTAATTTTTCACATTATTCGTTCACACTCGAATCGAGAAATTTGCACGATTTAAAGAAGTTATACATTTTCAACGATAAGTTTTATTCAACGCCATTTTGCGATCTTTCGAATCAGCGACTCGTTGATTTTTGCCCACGTTTCTCTCAAAAAAATGATCGAAAATCACTATTGTTATTGGCACAAATTATTTCTTCCACGATTTCTCCAAACATTTATGTTAAATTAATTTAACGACAATCACGATGATCAACTCTTTCGTCTTGTCAATCTAATTGAATTCTTTTGGATCATCCATGCAAATATCTTCACGATACAATAATATTCAACGTGTAATTTAAATTCGATAGAATTTCAGTCAACTATCTTTCCATCGATCCATCGCGTTCTTCCAGTACATCTATCTATATTCATCTCGAATTTGAAACAATTGAAAATTTTTTATTTCGTCCCAAGAAACGTTGCTCGCCAATTTATTTTCTCGATTTTCCAGAGAAATGGAACGAATGGGCAGGCTGTCCGATCAACAAGAATCGCGACTCTGGTCCCCAGACTTGTGGACGCGTAGCATCCATCAACGGTAAATATCGTCGAAAGTGGCACGTGTGCGCGATTATTTCCTTATCACTCGTGGCCGGCAGCGACGGTGTCGATTGTGACAACAAGTCAAAAAGAAGAAACTGTGTACGCGGAAAAAGGGGATAGAAAGGGGAGAGGGAGAGGGCCCAAGAAGGAAGGAAGAAAAAGAGAGAAAAAAGAGAGAAAGAGAGGACACGTTACACGACACAACACCAACGAGACTGACGGCGCGGGGCCCTGGGAGGCACTGACTGCCGGTTAGGTTCCTATAGAACCCAACCTAACCACCCGATACCCCCACCTTCGAAGCCGACCTTTCCGACCCCACTTCAATGCCGGTCCCACCACCCGACGCCGCTCCTCCACGTCCTATCCGGTAGCGAGAATTCGTGCCTCGATTCCACGCCGACGTCGAGCCATTCGTTCTCCCGATGGAGTCGACTCAGTCGCTTCCACGCCTTCTGGGGGCAGCTGTAGGATACTTGGCCGGTTCGAGCCGCCAACAAAATGGCCGACAGACCTAATCGATTCGTACCAACCCTCTCTCTCTCCTCTTCTTTCGTCTTGCCTCGTTCACCCGTTTTCATTCCTCCCTCTCTTTCTCCACGGACTTTCCTACGTCGGCTGCCGTCATAGCCGCCGGCCGGTCCTTCCTTCGGCTTACCTCCTTCGCGATCGCGCCCCCCCCCTCCGACTCGATGCTTCTCTCTTAACGATATTCGCTCGAACGGTGATAGAGATACTATGCGCGTCTCTGGGATACTCTTCGTTTTCGAGCAGTTTTCGTCCCGTCTGTTGATCTGGTACGCGACTTTTTCCTTCTCTTTTACGATCTAGTCACGTTTCTTCGACGGCTCCACACGACCTGTTGTTACCGCTTCTCATTCGTGTATCCTGTTCGCTTTCTTCTTCGCTCATTTGCTTTTTATATCGTGTCATTCTTTTTTCTTCTTCTTCTTTTTCTTTTCGCTTTTGCAAATTTGACGTCTATTCGATATATGGAATGGGATCTTTTTTATTTTCAAAGAAGTTACGCGATTAGAAAAGTCTTATTAACGTTTTATCGATTCGCAGCGTGATATATTATTCCTCGAATCCTTTGTTTCTTCGTGATGCTCTGATTTCTCATGTTTACGCATGTTTTAGCTGGTTATATATGTTTCGATTTCTATATTTTCGTTCTTCGTTCAGCTTGCTGCTGATTTAATTTTTGAATTACTTCCAGTTTTCAGCGAATAATAAATTTATCAATGTTAAAACTTTAGATACATTTGTTTTTCAATATTTTTCTTACGATTCAATATTCTTATTTGCGCTGATATAAAATTCGTTTGTTTTTTTTATTTTATTCATTCAAATTTTATAAATTGTCTAATATAATCTAAAATATACAAACATTTTTATTTTCGTTGAATTTATCGATTATTTTTATATCGTTATTATTCCTGAAATTTTAATTATAAGTTTTAATTATTAATATGACTGTATTATTAATAAATACTTTTATTTTTAAATAGTATCTATTATATCTAATTTTTTATTTCGTGTTATTTAGATATGATATTCATTCATTTTGAAATTCATTTCAACTATATATTCAATTCGATCATTTACATATAGATCGAATTGTTAAAGAGGATATATTATTAACATTGATTAACTTTACTATAGTATGCGAAATGAAATTTCTCCGCCATTTTCAAATATCTATAGCATTATTTTACCGAAAAGTACTTTGTAATTTACACGAAATGCCATTTTCAGAAATTTTAATAATCTTATAGCGCAGAATTACTTTTAGTTTTTATTATTGTATACTATTCTCTCGATAATCTTATTTGTCACAAATAATTATTTAATTTATATAATTACATATAATCAATCATTTTATCTATTTATACATGTAATATTTTAAAACTTAAATAATAATGAATTATTCAAATTTGCAGTATGTAAACTAAATGTTTATAAATAATCAATTTTTTTCTGTCTTTTTTTATTTTGAATACATTTTTAATTTTTAATAAAATATTATTTTTTTTTTCACAGATAAATTTATTATCTATTAATGTCTTCGTTAAAATTAGCGTTCATTGAAATATTGTTTGTATTCGATTATCTATTTATTATCAAAATTATTAATTATTATTTTAAAGATATTTTAGATCGAAACAGTTGTAAAAACTATGCATTATAAATAGAATGAATCAATGAAACTAATTTTTTAATTAGTAATTTTAAATAATCAATAAATTAATTTTTTGACGCACTAAAAATAAATAAAAAGACTGAGTGAAAACGAGAAATGTATTTTTCGATAAAAATTTCTAAAATTTTGGCAATATACCTATCTATCTATCTATAAAATTTATCTGCGCTCAAAATGCAACTATTTATCACGAATTCAAATACGAACGAAATCTATGATCTTTTAAAAATTTTGCATCAATAGCTTGAATAGCTAAGTAAATAGATAGTCAGCAAAAAGTATGAAGACAGACGTTAACTCATTAAACATTAAATCTGTTGCGAAGCCAGACGATTTAACGAGCAAGTTCGCTAAATTATTGGAAAGAGTGAAAATGAATTGAATTACTGGATCTACAAAGTTAAATTAATTCGATAATACATATTAATTTGTTATCTTGTATTTTAGTATTGAGTGAAAAAATGCTTTGTTAAATCAAGAATTATGTAATTAATTATTTATTTCTTTATTTAATAAACAATAATTTAATATCTTATACGGAATAATGGGAAAAAAATAATCAAAATTCGAAATTTTGATTTAATAATATCTGCTTAATCATCGAGAAGAGCAAAAAATTGTTTAAACGATAACATCAGTTTATATCAATAAGACTTACTTATTAATATCGGGAAAGATTACTTCATAGATACAAATCAGTTCTTGTTTACATTCAATGTATCATAAAAAGATTCACTTACGATATCAAATATCCGTAAATAATAAAAATTATTTTATCTATCTTATATATTATACATAACTTTTATATTTGTTAGTAACTATATATTCTTAAACGTTTTAGATGCATCTATTAAATATAAGAAAGCGGATCTAGTAAATTAGTTTTACAATTTTTGATTTTTAATAAATTAAAAAATCATGATATTATATTATAATTATTTTTAGCATTGTTTTATCTAAAACATATATTTGATTATCAAAATAAATAATTAAATTTAATTTGATTTAATAATAATTGAAATATTCTGCGTTTTTTTATTTTTCAATTAGATAGATTAAAGAAAAAGATAGATTAGAAGATAGTTGGATTAGTTGACTATAGATGAATTTTTAAATCAATTAAGAAAATAACATTACAATTTATTTTAGTAAAATAAATGCATTAAAAAAGTTGTGAAAAATAAAGTTGTAAAAAAAAATTATTTTATTATTATATAAATATATTATATTTATTATTTATTTATATATTATATAAATATTATTTTAATAATATAATTTTATTTTATAATTTTATAATTTATTATATTAATAATATAAAATTATAAATTTTCTAGAAATAATTAAATATAAATTATAATATATTTACTTATAAAAAGAATATAAAAATTATTTTCAACACAATAACTTTTTAAATCTTTATAGAAATATAAAAAATTAAATATGGAAATATAATATTTTCTTATAGAATCTTAGATTTTCATATAGAAACTTAAAATTTTTATGTTACTTAATCACTATCATATTACGCTTGAATATTATTAGTCAATCATTTTTGAACGACTTTTGATTTCATAATTTTATTTTTATAACTTAAATTATTTATGTTTAAAAAGATTGTATCAATAAAATTGTCAATAAATAAACTTTAAAATTATATAATATTCGTTTAATATTTA